TAGTTTCAAAAAGCTAGGAAGAGGATATTAAATGTTTCCAACATAAAGAAATGATAAATGTTTGAGATGATAGATATGCTAATTACCCTAATAGAATTATTGTACATCATATGTATCAAAATATCACTACATACTTTATGAATATGTAGTTACTATTTATCAATTAAGAAACAAAAGGAAAAAGAAGAAAAAATAAAACTGTAACTAATCCCAAGTTTAAGTATGAAATTGGATTTCCTATATTAAATGCCTACACCCACACTGTGAATGAATTTTATTTATATTAATATGTAAAGTTGTAATGTGACAAATGAGCTTATGAGGTTGCATTTATGACAATATTCTATTCACTGAAGAGAAAGAGTACCTCAGGTATTTCTATTTACCATTAAAACTAGAACTGATTTCAAAGATCTATATTCAAGAGAACAGAGAAAGAAATTTTAAGATAATTCCTGCAAGTTGAGGTTATTTGTTTCTAAATCTTACCCAAAATAATGCAAATGATGCCTTGTTTTCAAATTCTATTTTCACAAATCATCAATAACTATTTCCAACAAGTTACCCTTCAAATTTCATAATTATTCGTTATTATTTTACAAGCAGGTAATATGGGAATTTCAGATGTTTATGCACAGTTGGACTGTAGTTGACAAAATAACATTAAGATAACAAATTTTAAAATGCTGTACAATTTCTCATGACTCATACACACTCATGTCACAAGTGACCCACCACTGAGTCTGATGGTACCACACTTGTCTATTTCCTGTCCAACAAGGTGGATTCCCCAACTTGGTTATTAAGGAAATGTCAAGTTGCTATATGAGTGTTTAAATGCTTACTCTCAATGTCTGTGATATGGTTTGGCTGTATCCCCACCCACATCTCATCTTGAATTCTCACATGCTGTGGGAGGGACCCAGTGAGAGGTAATTGCATCATGGGGGCAGGTCTTTCCTGTGCTATTCTTGTGATAGTAAGTCTCATGAGGTTTGATGTTTACTATAAGGGGAAACTTTCCTGCACAAGCTCTCTCTGCTTGCTGCCATCCATGCAAGACGTGACTTGGGGGCAGGTCTTTCCTGTGCTATTCTTGTGATAGTAAGTCTCATGAGGTTTGATGTTTACTATAAGGGGAAATTTTCCTGCACAAGCTGTCTCTGCTTGCTGCCATCCATGTAACACGTGACTTGCTCCTCCTTGCCTTCTGCCATGATTGTGAGGCTTCCCCAGCCACATAGAACTGTAAGTCCAATTAAACCCCTTTATTTGTAAATTGCCCAGTCTTGGGTATGTCTTTATCAGCAGCATGAAAACAGACTAATAAAGTCTGTGTGTACCTCACTATTGACTCGTAACACATAGTTCATGAACTGCCACTGATCCATGATACACACTTTGAGTAATACCACTCTAAGGTAAAATAAGAGATAGGTGTATTGTAACTGCTATGATTGAGGAGAGAGAGACCCTCTCATATTGTTTTATACTCAGTACCTGTTTTAAGAAAAAAACAAGAAAGTAAAACCAAAGACAGGCAGCCGGGTGCCAGGCCCAAAACCAGGCCTGGGCCTGCCTGGCCTAAACCCAGTAGTTAAAAATCAACTCATAACTTAGAAACCAATATTATTCATAGATTCCAGGCATTGTATAAAAGAACATAGTGAAACTCCCTGCCCTGTTCTGTTTCTCTCTGACTACCGGTGCATGCAGCCCCTGTCACGTACCCCCTGCTTGCTGAAATCAATCACGACGTTTTCATGTGAAATCTTTAGTGTTGTGAGCCCTCAAAAGGGACAGAAATTGTGCACTTGGTGAGCTCAGATTTTAAGGCAGTAGCTTGCGGATGCTCCCAGCTGAATAAAGCCCTTCCTTCTACAACTCGGTATCTGAGAGGTTTTGTCTGCGGCTCGTCCTGCTACATGACGATGATGTTAGCAGAAGAACTGGGGATGTTACTATAGGCAGATCTAGAAAATCCAATAAAGGTTTTCTCATTTCAATTTTAAAAACTACATTTTTTACTGGTAGGTCCTTTTATTAACATGTCACCATCTAGCACTTCACATAATATATGACTCTTCACACAAATGTTTGCCATTTGTTTATTTAACTAGGTAATAATAAGAAGGAAAGATACGAGTAAGCATTTCTAACTGCAACAAACTTTTGCAAGTAATCGTTGTATTCAAAAGCCAAATAACTTACATTCTATGTGTGTGTCCTAAAAGAATTCTGGCTGTGTACTTATTTACATAACCTTTATTTATTGTCCTTTATATACAAAGGACAATAATGTGCGAGGTAGAACATTTCCTTTCTTCTGAGGACAGGGGAATTCTGAATGCAATTCCAGAAATTAACAGTCTTGTGCTTATGTATTAACTTTTTTTCTTTTTTTTTTTTTTTTTTTGAGACGAGTCTCGCTCTGTCACCCGGGCTGGAGTAGCAGTGGCCAGATCTCATCTCACTGCAAGCTGCCGGCCTTCCCGGTTTACCGCATTTCTCCTGCCTCAGCCCTCCCGAGTAGCTGGGACTACAGGCGCCGCACCTCGCCCGGCTAGTTTTTTTGTATGTTTTTTAGTAGGAGACCAGGTTTCACCCAATGTTAGCCAGGATGTCTTCGGATCTCCTGACCTTGTTATCCGCCCGCCTCGGCCTCCCAAGTGCTGGCGATTAGCAGGCTTGGAGCCACTGCGCCCGGCCCACTTTTTTTTCATATGTAATAAGAACATGACTCACCATTTCATCTTACTGTGATGATACATTAAGTGAGAATACCTAGTCAAATTTAAGGCCTGCAATCAGATCTTTGATGGCCTGTTCTTTAGAGTTTGAACAAAAATGGAAAGATTGAACCAGCGGCGCGAGTGCACTCAAGCTCACTCATTTTCACAGGGACACTGTTTCTTTAAGGGTTAAATTAGGATAGTTATAGCTGGTATAGGTAGTATTATGTTTATGTAGTCTTGTGCGTATGTGCATACATAGCACATAATATTCTGCTTACATCAGCAACAAACTTAATGACAGCACGTGCTCCTCTTTTCCGTAACTTCCTCCGAAGAGAGTTTAAAAAGGTGGAAGACGCTTCATTAACGGCCACTACGCTTCTGAAATGTGATTGAAGCTGTTTCTTATCATGTAAGAGGAATTCCTGAATCTGTTGTAGGCCGGGCGTGGTGGCTCAAGCCTGTATCCCATCACTTTTGGAGGCCCGAGACGGCGCTGGATTCAGGATGGTCAGGAGATCGGAGGGACCATCTTGAGGTAACACGGTGAACCCGTCTGCTACTAAAAAAATAGCTCAAAAAACAGCCGGGCGATCTGGGTGCGGGCGGCCTGTATCCCAGCTACTCGTACGGCTGAGGCAGGAGAATGGCGGGAACCCGGGAGGCGGAGCTTGCAGTAGCTGAGATCCGGTCCACTGGACACTCCAGCCTGGGCGACAGAGCCAGACTCCGTCTCAAAAAAAAAAAAAAAAAAAAACGAAAATTCTAATTCTTAATGTATCTGTGGGTGCAGGAATTATACACACACAGCACACAGTATATATATCTCTCAACCAAATTATAAGTTAAATTGAAGGATGATTATAGGTTTCTATGTTACAGCTAAAAACAATCATAACACTGACAAAAAGTCATCTGCTTTTTAAAAATAATTAATACATGTCATTTTAGAATAGTTTTAGGATTGTGGAAAAATTGAGTGGCAAGTGTAGAATTCTCATTTATCACTTCTTCCTCCTGCACAATTTCCCTTATTAGTAACATCACCCATTAGTGTTGTGCCATTTGTCTTGATGAACAAATATTGATAATTATAAGTAAGTCCATCGTTTAGGGTTCCTTCTTTCTGTTGTACATTCTGTGGGTTTGACAAACGTATGAGATATATCTGAAGCAGCCTTGTTATCTGGGGTAAATACCAAGACCTTAGTCTCATGGCTCAAGGATATCAAGGTCTCGGACACACACAGACAGAGTGAGTTTGGAGCAGGAGTTTAACAGGCAAAAGGAAAGAACAGGTCTCTGTTACAGAGAGGGATCGTAAGCAGATTGCCAAGTTGTAGTAAAAATGTCAGAGATTTTATAAATGGGCTCGTGAGGCGGGCGTGGAGGGAAGCTGGTGAGGAGGGGGCTTGTGAGGAGGGGATGTCTTGTCTTATCTTCCTAGGGCCCCAGGGTTTAGTTGGGAACAGGTGTGTTCTCTGTACAGAGCAGAATTTTTAATCATCTCTTATCCCATTCCGTGAGCACATAGGCCAACTCTCAGTCTATTTCTTTGTCCTGCTTATGTGGTAGGAAAAGTTTCTGTGTCGATTCCCATACATCTTCTTGCAGCCCTAGGCATCTTGGTGCGCCTAAACAGAAAGGAATGTGCTTATTAAGGCCCACTGTTTTACTGGGGCCTGTGGTATAAGTGTGAAGCTTGGTGATTACCCAGGAGACTCCCCGCTGTCCACCTCAGTCCTTCTGTGTCCCAGCTGTCTTTTCTGTGTTTTACTGTCTGCTCTTTCAGGTCTCTTGTTATTAGAAGAAAAGTGATTTCTTTGAACTGCATGAGGTTAGAAAGGGAGCTACTTTTGAGCTGCTTTTTGTTAAAAGGAAAGTTTTCTACCGGGGATTTGCCTTACCCTGTCTACCCAAATAATTTGTTTCTGCCTCCTATAACATATCCACCATTTCACATAGGGTAGTTTCACTGCCTAAAAAGCCCCTGTGGCCCACGATGGGAATAGGCCCTGGGTCCAGGCCTCCATTGGGTTCCCCCTAATTCCGGGGACAAGGGGATCCTCAAGACAGGGTAAGGGGTACACCAGACCCGGCCAGGCGTTCCTAGCTGAAGGAGGGTCGCGTCCCTGCCAGAGGTGGAAAGAAAGTCCAGGAATCCCTTCCTGTCTTTCTGGTTTGTCTCTGGGCTTCCTGCTCGGGTCACAAGCGCCACAAGAGCGGGCGGCTGCGGTGAAACTGAAGGCGGGGGATCCAGCCCCAAGCAAATCTCCCGCGGCCGCGGAGGAGGTGGGGCGGGTGCTGGGCGCAGCCTCGCCTTCCGCCCACGCGGGGCTGCGGCGGGGACGCTTCTCTGGAGGATGTGCGGAAACTTGAGGTTTGGAGCCCGTTGGACCGGAAAGGGGCTCCGTAGGTGGGTGCAGTGTGGGCGCGAGAGAGCCTAGAAGCCTATGTAGGTGCGAATCCCGCAGCCCCAGTACTCCTCCCTCGGTGCTTCCCCGCCTTTTCTGCAGAGCCCCGCCCTGGAGTGAAGGAGGAGCCTTCTCCTGGAGCGCCGAAGAAAGCGGAAGAAGGCGGCTTCGCTTGGATTTATCCAGTGTGACCCCTCCGGGGCCTTCTCAGTTGGGTGAGCATCCGCTCTGACCAGGCCATGAAAAGAAAAATCTGTCCGATGCCTCCCCACACGTCACAGGACTCTGACTTGCCTTTGTCGTCAGAGTTTGCAGAACTTTGGGGGACCTGAGAGGGGAGTGCCCCCTGGACGGGCCACGGCTGTCTGTGGCTTAAGGACTTTTGGAAAGGCGGAGAGAGGGAAACAGGGCGTCCTAGTGGCCTGCTTCAGGGCCACCCACAGGCCCTCCCCCAACCTGTCTCTGATCCGACTTGTTTTTCCAGGCTAGGTTGGAAACTTGTGGATGCTGTGACCTCAAGAAGACTTGACATTTTATTTGGAAGATAGGCATCTATTTGCAACTGTCCTGAACCCCTATTTTCCTCCCACCTTTCTTGGGGAAACTTGTTTTTTAAGGAGGGGTACCACTGTTTTTGTAACATGTTGCTCCTAGCTCTTAGCATTCCTGGTACTGTTGTAACCGTCCAATGGGTTCCCTTTGCTTGCTAGATAGAGCCGATTTATCAAGACAGGGGGATTACAGTGGAGAAAGAGAAATTAACGCAGAGCCGACTGTGCCGGACGGGAATTTTGTTATTACTCAAATCGGTCTTTTCAAATCTGTCTCCCGGAGCAGTGCATTCCAACATTCTTTAGATGTTACAAATGTACCTTTTGGCTAAGTTACATTCTTGCTAAGTTACGATTCTTATGAACTAAGCCCAAATGTTACATTCTTACTAACTAAGCCAAATGTTATATTCTAAAGAATGTTTACAAAACTGAAACTAAATATTTATTACTTGGTACAGTTGTGAAACTTGTTTTTAAAAATGCATCCTGTGGTTAAGTTTTACAGATCCTGAAACTGAGTAAAATTTGACCAGTAATAATGCTTTATTTCTTTTTATACTTTAAATTCTAGGGTACATGTGCACAACATGCAGGTTTGTTACATATGTATACATGTGCCATGTTGGTGTGCTGCACCCATTAACTTGTCATTTACATTAGGTATATCTCCTAATGCTATCCGTCCCCCTCCCCTTCCCCACAATAGGCCCCAGTGTGTGATGTTCCCCTTCCTGTGTCCAAGTGATCTTATTGTTCAATTCCCACCTGTGAGTGAGAACATGAGGTATTTGGTTTTCTGTTCTTGCAATAGTTTGCTGAGAATGATGGTTTCCAGCTTCATTCATGTCCCTACAAAGGACATGAACTCATCCTTTTTTATGGCTGCATAGAATTCCATGGTGTATATGTGCCACATTTTCTTAATCCAGTCTGTCACTGATGGACATTTGGGTTGCTTCCAAGTCTTTGCTATTGTGAATAGTGCCACAATAAACATACGTGTACATGTGTCTTCATAGCAGCATGATTTATAATCCTTTGGGTATATACCGAGTAATGGGATCACAGGGTCAAATGGTATTTCTAGTGCTAGATGCTTAAGGAATCGCCACAATGTCTTCCACAATGGTTAAACTAGTTTACAGTCCCACCAACAGTGTAAAAGCGTTCCTATTTCTCCACATCTTCTCCAGCACCTATTGTTTCCTGACTTTTTAATGATCACCATTCTAACTGATGTGAGATGGTATCTCATTGTGGTTTTGATTTGCATTTCTCTGATGGCCTGTGATGATGAGCATTTTTTCATGTGTCTGTTGGCTGTATAAATGTCTTATTTTGAGAAGTGTCCATTCATATCCTTTGCCCACTTTTTGATGGGGTTGTTTTTGTTTCTTTTGTTGCTGTTGTTGTTGTTTTTGTAAATTTGAGTTCTTTGTAGGTTCTGGATATTAGCCCTTTGTTGGATGAGTAGTTTGCAAAAATTTTCTCCCATTCTGTAGATTGCCTGTTCACTCTGGTGGTAGTTTCTTTTGCTGTGCAGAAGCTCTTTAGTTTAATTAGATCCCATTTGTCAATTTTG